GGAGATTGTAATCATTGCAATGAAACGATGGTGTAAAACCAGTGTTCTCCCATGTAAACTATCACTCAATTCACAATAAAAAGTTAAAAAAAAAAAAAAAAAGAGAGAGTGCCTGGTATTTTGTAGCTAGTATTGACTTTTAAAGTTTCCATCAGGAGTCCATGGAACTGTAACAGATGTGCCAAGAACCAAAAGTATTTATGCAAAGAAAAGAAAATCCTCTTCTAATGGCTTGGCACTCTAAACCAATCAATATATCCCAGGTCCCTAAAAAACACAAAAGAACCCTGGGGTAGACAAATATTATGTTGCACTTTTTCTAGCTGTCTCATGAATCAAAACAAAAAGTTCCATAGTTCCAAACACAAGGGTCTTCTGTGACGCTCTGTCATATTATTGAAGGTCTCCTGGGAAGAACCCATCAATAGCCATCTTGGATAACTCAGGCTATTCTGACTACCCTGGAGCCTGAAGAAACACTGTCATGTTGTTGTTAGTCCTAGAGAGGAACCACAACTTAATGGGGTTTTCCATAGGTTTGTTCACTATTTCTTTAGAGTTGCTAACTTTGGTCATTATTGCGTCTAATCAAAAAGCCAACACAAAAATAAAGAATGAATCACCCAAAACAAAAAAACTCCATAAACCCCAACAACACAAGGAATCAAAAACAACTTTCCCCATGTGGATGCCTTCTTGAGGGTGCATACAGTATCACTGAAGAGCTAGCACTGTTTCCCACATAGTGTTTAAAGGACTCAAAACACCATCTCTAAACTTAGAGGCTTCCAGTATTTAAAATACAGATGGGGTTGGCAGGGATCGGAGAAGAGGTGAGCACAGGGGATTCAAATTCTTTTGAGATTTGAAAGTGAAGCTTTGCCATTTTAAGAAAAAGGCATACAAATATGTACATGTGTGTATAGAAAGAGAGAGAAACACATTCAGAAATACACACAGACACACATACACACACATCTTTCTCACAGGTAGCTCCTACTTCTGAAAACATGGACCCAATAAAAAATTAGCTCATGGACTATTAACATTCTGTGGATAAAAATAAAGGTGCAGAGTATAACTCTGACAAAATTAGGCTTGGTTGGCTGCTGGCACTGTGAATGTAAAGTGTTTCAAACACAAACATGTAAGTAAGCTCATAAATTGCCAAAACCAAACTAGTGAAGTTTTGTCTTTGTTTGACAACAGGACTCCTCATAGCCACGGGGTAAACAAGGGGCAGCCTCTGCCTTCTGTGTTGGAGCATTCTGGAGGACTAACAGAAAACCCTGCTCTTGCTCAGCAAGCCCTTAGTCCAAAAAGGAACATAAGGCTCCAGCTTTGGCATCCCCAGATCAGAACACCAGATTCTACCCCTTTGCCCATTCATCCTGCTTTTTGAGAACCACATGTTAGTGTCACAGGTTTATAACCCACTTTGATAATACAAGATCCCTGTTGTTGTTTTTGTTGTTAAGTGCCTCCCATCCCAGAGAGGAATCTCTCTTGATACCAACTCCTAGTGACTCTGTGTAGGGTTTCTGAGGAGTGGCTGGAGGGTTTGAACCACCGACCTTGTGGTAAGCAGTCCAGTGCTTATCCTACAGCACCACAAAAGGAAACCTAGGAAGCTCCAAATCCAGGCTTCAGGGGTGTGGGAGGCTAGCAGTGGGACAAGCTCCTTGCTACACAAACGGAAAGGCAAAAGGTGTTGGTTCTAAACCCACATTCTGCAGGTAGACTTAGGGCCCTAACTCCGTGATATTCCAAAGGTTGTGTGATCAGTTGTGGAGGCTGGAAAGAAAGGAGGCGAGTGGGACGTGGTAATCCAGCAAGCTCCTCTCCAGTCATTGGACCCTCTCAGCCTCTACCCTCAGCATTCCAGCTGCCATGAACATCCATACCCCCTCAACACCCACCTCAGGCATCTGTCACTTCTTTCCTTATTAACAAAACCCACAAGAATGCAATGATGATGGCACTGGTCCATCCATCTACTGACTGACAGGTAACAGTCTGATTTACATTCTGATGAGGGTCTGACTTTCCCCACTAGACTCTAGGCTTCTTCTCTCTAGTCACTCACTCACTCCTTCCAATCAACAGATTCATTAGTTTAAGTTCTGGTGGTCAGTGGTCAAGACAGACTTGACCTCTGACCGGAACATATTCAAGGGTCCTAGGCAAGAAAATAAACAATTACAATATGATGCTTTAAAGGCTCTGATAAAACTAGGCTGGAACCCAGAAGGGACAGCTAAGGGCAGGCAGTGCAGACCTTGGGCTAGGGAGATTCAGGACAGTCTCTCTTCAGACATAATATCTAAGCTGAGATTAAACAAGGTAATATAAAGGGAACAGCATGTGCAAAGGCTCAGCAGTCAGAGGAGGACTCTCTAGAATTTGAAAGAAGTTCAGAAGCTGGACCACTGGTTTAGATTTTGGGTGGGGTGGAAGGTGGAAGAAGAGGGGACTTCAAGATTCGAGAGTCAAGCTGCGTCCAGACCACAAAGGGCCGGCCAACTTTGTTAAAGGCCTTGGACTTTATCCAGAGGTCTCCAGAAGCCACAACAGGGTCTGAAGCCAGAGAGTAAAAGAGCCAGATTTGCAGTTAAGAATGATAGCTCCGGAGGCACCATAACACAGGAGCAGGGGTGTGACAGACAAGGCTGCTTGAGTAGAGGGGTGTTGGTGGCATTGGGGTGGAGATGAGAAGACAGGCCAGTAGGACAAAGTTGAGTGAATAGATTCAGGAGAGATAGAAACCACAGTCATGTACTTATTAAAGTATTAAATGATAGCACCTCATGCATACAAGATAAAAGATTATAAACAACAGCTACTATTGATTCAGCAATTACAACGTGCCCATTAAACTCCATGGTGTACAAATTATACCTCGAATTCTGTCCCCAGCTCTATACATCTCCCTTTCAAAGGAGGATGCAAAGACATGGAGAGATTCCCTGGTTGGCCTAACATTCCCAAGTTGGTGAGTAGCCACGCTCCCAGGCTCCCTGGGGTCTAGCTCCTTGGGGCTCCCAACTCCCTCCATCCCTCCACCCAACCTCCCTAACAACAGAAGACTTCTCAACTCTTGTTCAATGGTCTGAACGTTGCTTAGCTTTCTGTAGGCAAGCAACTGTAAGGTCAGCCTATCAAAGATACCCATTATAGGGAAATCCACAACAAAACAGCGAATCATACATTTTCACCCTCAAATAATTCAACTCTAAAGCAATGCACACAAATACCCACCTTTGCACAAGGTATTCTCTCACATTCAGGGAATTGATGCCCACCTCACCCATATGTGCCAGGTGTTGCTGTTGTTAAGTGCTGTTGAGTCAGTTCCAACTCACAGAGACCCTATATAGGATTTCCAAGGAGCAGTTGGTGGGTTTGAAACACTGACCTTGCAGGTAGTCCAGTGCTTATCCTACAGCACCACACCTGGATAGCCTTGCCCAATTAATAAAATCATGAAAACCTGTATGAAAGGGTTCCGCTCTCTGGAAGAACACTGTCAGGTGAAAGTTATCTTCATTGTAGGTTGCAGCCAGCATCCCCTTCTCCTGAGCTTATTAGAGATAAAGCAAGTACCTTTTCCCTCCCCCCCCCCTTTTATTGCTCTAGTTCCCTATGGTCTTTGACCTCCCCCTCCACACAGTTTGTGCTGCCTAATGAATTGCAAATAATAGTAAGCTCATTCATGGAGGTTGAATGCAGAAGAGACCCTATTTGGAGTTTTCCTGGCTGCTAGTCATGAGAATATTTCCGTGGGCACAAAGCACAGTGACCCAGGATTTCCGTTTCAGTGCTGGGGATATGGGGGAAGGGGGACTCTTACAGTCAGTGAGCCACCCCCAGGCCATTTTGAGACTCATTTGCTCTATTTAGTCCAAGGAAATAGAGTTAGACAAAAAACTCCTCCCTCAGCATCCTGGGGAAGGAAGGAACAAGGAAGAGGAGCTAGTGGCCGCCCAGGGCTTGGCGCTCTCTTCTCTCTCTAGTTCATCACTGTCAGTTCTGGTGTCCACTTAGGCAGTGGGATTTGCTGCTGGGTGGACACTGAATTCATAGGTGTCGAAAAGTATCCTGTCCATGGGAAAATCACCAAAACATCACGCCTTCCACTTGGGCTGCCACTCAGAACAGCAGCCTCATCATCACCAAGACCTCTCTTCAAACAGCACCAAATCCTGCCACCCCGTTGGGAAACCTGTGTCCACCCCTCATGGCCCCCCAACCCAGAGACTAGATGTCTCTCTCACTCTCCAGAACACTTTCTCCAGGTACACACCTCTTATGGCTGGACCTCTTATGGTGGAAAATACAAGTTCGGGAACTTAGGGTATCTTTCAAAAGCTCTTTGTTTACAATTTGGATAGAATTTCTTAAATTAAAAATAAATAAATAAATACAGGGTTTTCAGGGGAGGAAATGATTTTCAAACAAAAGATTGTTCCCTAAAATGAAAAAAAGAGCCCAGCCCATGTCTCAAAGCAAGGACAAACCACTTGAGTTCCAGGGTTGTAACAAAACAGAGTTACTTGACCTAAACGGAACAATCCACATCTAAAAACATTTGGATTCATTTCCCGCCCCCCATGTGTACAAGCCTCCTTGCATCTCGAAAAGGACTTCAAAAGATGTGAAACTTACCTTACCTTAAAAGAGCATCAATAACCTCCTTAATTTTCAAGTTATCTATATCATTTAGAAATCCCAAATATATAAACAAGTGTAAAAGGAAAACTACACAAGGCAATGTGATCCAAACATGCAACTCTCTTATTTGTGGCAGTCTGCTTCGGTAAAGATTACAGTTTTCGAAACCCTATGGGGAAATTCTATTTTGTCTGGTAGGGTGGCTTAAGTGTGGGAATCAACTTGAAGGCAGTGGGTTTATAGATAAACCAAGCAATAAAGGTAGAGCACCTCCAGAGAGGCGAGCTGGCCAGCGAACTTCCCCCTGCCCTTGCACTTCCCCTCTTCTACTAACTGACTTAAGGTTTCTGCCGGCCCCATTCTATCGGTTTACACAAAATTCTTATATAATGAGCTGGAGGCACGGCATGCGCTACAGTAACCTGTTTGGAATCATAGGATGCAGTTGTCAGAACGGCGCGTGCGCAGAAACCTGGCTACATTTTTTTTTTTTTCTTGAGCTCAAGGCAAGAGGTAACTGTCGGTCAAATCCTGCTGAGCACAGCTGACTTCAAATACAGGATGCTAAAAATGAAATAAAGGGGGGGTGGGGGAGGGTGGTGAAAACCCCGGTGCGTGCTATGCACTGCGGGCGCATAGCGTATGGGAAATAGCTAGCAGGATAGTAAATACAAAAAGATGGAAAGATGGATGGATAGATAAGGCGATGCCTGTAATAATACCAAAGACTTTCTTTGGATGCTTTAGATAGATAACCTAAAATGTAGCCCATACGTAACTAACTGCAATGTTAATGTGCTAGGCAAAGAAAAATAAAAGGCCCTAGGTAGGGTGGGGTGGATGTGATGTTGAAAGCAAAGTAAAATAAATATGGTTAGTTTTGTTTTCTATATTCCTGTAGTGAAACGTTACAAACACACAAGAGGCATCTCTTGCGCACAGCTTGGAAAAGCGTTTACTGTAATTGTGTCTAGCCATCAATTCGCCAGCACCCCGCCTTCCCCTCCGGAGCTGGTACCCTCAAGAGAAGTGGGATGTGCACCTCTGTTCCCAAACCCTCTCTCTCTAGGGTGCAGAAGGGCGGCCAGCAGACATCCACAACCTCGACCCGCGTCTGCCTCCCTGGTAACTCCGTCGCCCTTTTTCCCCATTAGGTCCGAAAGAAGCTGTCTGTCCCTCCCAAAGCGCACGGGGAGCGCAACCTCCAGCTCTCAGGGATGAGCTCCCTCTTTTGTTCCTTTGCCTGGCGCTCTGGAGGGTGGCGCGAAGCAGTCCTTGCTCCCTTAGTCCTGGCCGCGCCCGCCGGCAGAGGAACCGGACCTCCCTTCCCTCTGTCCCAGGCTGCGGCCACTCCCAGCGCGCTCCGGGACCCCAGGCCGCAGGTCCCTCTTCCGGACGCGGACGAGGTCAAGGCAGTCTGTCCACTTGTGGGATTGCCTAACTGCCTCCCTCCATTCCCGTCCCCGGGTGGTCCAGGAGCACCGGAAGATGCCAGGTGGCCAGGACCGAGGGCCGATCGGAACCGGGTCTTCTCGGGTGTAGCTGGGTCAGAGCCCGAGGACGCGCTCCTTGGAGTAGTGGAGCGAGCGCGGAGGGGGACGGGATGAAGGACTTTGCACATACCGTGATCTCCTAGACAAGAAAACTAAGCCCGCGAGAGCGAAGAATTCGCGCACTCACCATGGCGGTGCCGACCGAAAAAGCGGCCATCAGACAGGCCATGCCCCGGGGGCGACGGCGGCTGGGACCGGGCTGAGGGCTCCGGGAACGAGACGGCGGGGACTAGGCTGCGCTCCCTCTTGGCTAGGCTACTGAGCCCGCACCCGCTCAGGCTCCGGCTCGAGCTCCGCCCCGCGCCCGCGATTGGCCAGCGCTGAGGGGGCGGGGCCACGGGCAGGTGTGCGTGCTCTTGTTGTCCTCCTACACCGCGACCCTCGGGTCCCGGGTATCTACAAAGACTCAGCATCCTCTGTGTGGAGACTCGTCCCAAGTCCCTCTCCCCCACAGTTCGGAAACTCTCGGGAAACTGACCAAACCGCCCGGGGCAAGCCCCCAGGGGGCCTTGACAAATGCGGTGTTACTAGGGACTCAGGACCATCGATCGCCTCCAGGCCCGTGATGTGAGGATGAACCCAGAGGAGCGTCCTGATGGGAATCGAGAATGGTCAGGGGCATTCTTTTTTTCAATCTTTTCCTTTTTAGTTGATGGCCACCTCCATGCAAGGTAGCAGCTTAAGGCCTTACTGCTTCGAACACTAGGCAAGAGAACCAAAACCGAAACTCTAAAGAGAAGACCCTTCCAAATGAGCTGAAGTAGAGCATTATGTGCGGCGACCACCCTCATGCCTGCTACACAGACGTTCATTCTCTTAGTACAACATTCATTCACAGCGCTCCAGAGTAGTAAGTGCTGGGGAGACAGGGATGTAGGTAAAGATGGCCATGCCTCTGCTGACCATCCCACCCTCCATCAATGAAAAGGCTCAGTTTTGCAGACCGCATTGGTATCAATGTCTGGACCACTACCCAGCCCAGTATTCATACCTGTGTTCATTGTACCTGCATAAGCAATGAGCCACAAACATCCTCTCTTTTTGTCCTAGACTGGAATATCAGATGACCTGACACCTGCTAAAGCCCTGTTGTTGTTGTTAAGTGCTGTCGAGTCGGTTCCGACCCATAGCGACTCTGTACAGGGTTTCCGAGGGTGTAAATCTTTACGAGAGTAGAAAGCCTCATCTTTCTCCCGCAGAGCGGCTGGTAGTTTCGAACTGCTGACCTTAAGGTTCGCAGCCCGATTCGTAACCACTACACTACCAGAGCCCTATTATGTGTAAATCAGGCCATTTCTTGGTAACCATGGTGACAGGCATTCTGGACTCCCAATCTAAAACTGGAAGGCTTGGGTTCAGTGACTTGGAGCCGCAGACACACCTGAGGCACTGTCCCTGCCACACCTCGGATGAGAAAAGCCTCTGTCCTCCTCCTCTTTACACCAGACAAATGAACTTCACACCCACAGGTTAAAGACCAGAGCCAAATCTGCCCTCCCCCAAACTAAAAGATGAAAATGACATATGATCTTGTTTAGAATTCAAATTCATTTAGAGTTTAAACTCATTCTGAGTTTAGGGAGGAACTCATTCTGCTTTTTATGATCAGTTCTGCATGAAGTGTTGATCCATTACCTCTTTTTTAAACCTTAGCTGTGGCAAAGGACAGCAGATTGTTTGTACTTCCAGGTGCCACTTTCTGGATGCCAGGCCCAGGAGGGTATACAGAGGAGCTTGAAAGTACTGAACAAAGAATAGTAAAGGCCATGTGTTTTGGAAGGAAGATTTGAATACTAAACCTTTGGGGAGAGTTTAGGGCAAATGGTAAAGGGGAAAGATGCCTCAACTCTAGAACCAGGAGTGGTACCCAGGCCTGGCACCCTGCTACTAACCCCAGGGCAGTGTTATGGATTGAATTATGTCCCCCGCAAAATACATGTTGGGATCTATCTATGGATGTAATCCTATTTGTAAATAGAGTTTTCTTTATTGTGTTAGTGGTATTTAGTGTTAGTTCTAAATCTAACCACTTCTGAGTTACAAAAATAACAGACTAGACACAGAGAGACAGAGTCAGGGGGGAAGGGAGACAGATGCCATGTGAGAGTCATCTACAAGCTAAGGAACCAGGGAGCGCCCATGGTTATCAACAAGGAAGGAATTGACCAGGCTGAGAACCTGATTTCGATTTTCAGCCGCCAGAACTGTGAGAAAACAGATGGCTGTTCTTTAAAGCCACCTAGAGGAGTGCAGTGGCTCTGTATGGTACATACTGGGCTGTAACCCACAAGTTCAGGAAAAAGATGAGGTTTTCAATTTCTGCAAAAATGTACAATCTCGGAAACCAAATACAGGGTTATTATACGTCGGAACCAACTCAACAGCACTTAACAACAACAACTTGTGGTATATGTGTTGCAACACCACTAGGAAACTATGACAGACACCTGTTGTCTTGGACATCTATTTTTTCTGCCCAGTGTCCACTCTTCTCACTTTTAGGAATGTCCTTCTAGTGCTTGCCACCCTTTCTCTCTGCCATGTGATTTGTATAAGATTGAGCAGCAACCTTCACCTCAAGGATAGGCCAATTGGTTTCATCCAATTCTTGCCTCCCACTCCTCATGACCAAGTGGTTGGCCCAGAATGGAAGGTAGAAGGTAATGCTTGCTGGACTTCTGGGAATAGCCCAGGGTGCTATGTGGAGCCTTAAGATGAAATAATAGATGAAACATAGAGATAAACTGGGCCCCTGTTGGCATGGCTTGAGCTACTGGGTTTCCTCTTACCAACCACTGAAAGAATCCTCACTGATGCATCAGAGTTGTTGGGGAGAAAATGGCATAACCCACAGAAAGCACTGTTCCTGGTGCCTGGCACAAGTCAGGTGCTTCAACTTTAGTCCTTATTTCCTGGTGTGGCGCTGTGTGTTAATGTACTGGACTGCAAGGTCGGTTTGAACTGCAAGGTCAGTGGTTCCAGCTCACCAGCCGCATCTCGGAAACCCTATATAGGATTGCTATGAGTCAGAACCAACTCGACAGCATTAAAAGCAACAAAGGGAAGGTACTATTCCAGGTAACAGATTGAGTTCAGGGTTTCAAGTGCCTAGTCTAACAGATGTCCTCCGATCTTGTTAGCTTGTTCTTTCCATAAGCTGGCTTCCCCATAGGTGGGCTACTTCCACATGACCCTCCCTGCATCTTTTATCCTATCAGCTGGCAGCCAGCTATTCTTTCCAGGAGGGTACCAAACACTGACGGGCACAGACACACACACACAAAACTAGTTGTTGTCACACACCAATTCATGGTGACCCCAAGTGTGTCAGAGTAGAAGTGTCCTCCAGAGTGTTCTCAATGCCTGATTTTCACTAGGGCCTTTCTTCAGAGGTATCTCTGAATGTACTCAAGTCACCATTATTTCAGTCAACAACTGAGCAGTTAACAATTTGTGTCACTCAGCAACTTCCTGAGTGGCCCAAACTGGGTCAAACTGGCCACACAGAAAATGAGAAATTCAGTCAAATGGAACCAGGGTGAAAGCTTGGGGTATAGGTGCTTCACCAAGGCCATTTTGAGGCACTCTGAGTAGACAGACCCCAAAGGAACTCACCCCAGGACTGTCCAATCCAGATCCCAATCCTGGTAGGAATTTCTTCTGGTCTTCAACCAGGCTAGGCTTGAGAATTTCCTGTGGAGAAGCCACAACTTACCTCAATTGTCAGCTCAGTCCATCAATAAATAGTTATCATTGTTAGCAAACTATCCCTGTGCCTAGAGTCCCTGTTAACTCTGGCTGTGGTGTGTTCTGGAGCAAAAGAATCATTTGTTCCTCTTCTGCTTGAAATACCTTCAGGTGTTCAGTAAGGGGACCAAGTTCTTGTCCAGGTCTCTTTTCCCTGGAACACATATCTCCAGTCATTCCATCTTTCCATCCTAGAAGATGCCCTTCCATCCTGATTACCTTTCCATGAAGGCGTTCTTAGTGCTCCTTGTACAATTTGTGGTCCAAAGCTGAACACCTACCTACTCAGTGTATGTTTGATCAGGGCAGACAGGGAGGGATAACTAGCTTTCTCATTTTCACACTCCACTCTGTTAGTGCAGCCCAAGTTAGCATTCTTATTTCCTGTAGTAGCACACCCTACTGACATACATTCAAGTTTCAGTCAATTAAAAATCTCATTTTTTTTAAAGAAAGCAACTAGTCTGCCTGGTGTGGCTCTATAGGATCAGCACTGGACTGTATACCACAAGGTCAGCAGTTCAAACCTACCAGCTCCTTGGAACCCTATACAGGGTTGCTATGAGTCAGAACCAACTTGATAACACTTAACAATAACAACTAACACTCTTCCTGGCCTTCGTTTCATATACATATTCAGTTGGTTTTTCAGAACCTTGCTTCAGACTTCACATTTCTCTCCATTAAGTTTATTCCTGAGTCATCCTCCAATCTGGGCACTGATTGGTCACTATATTCCCTACATCAGCCAAGGACCTCGTGCTCTAGGTCGCCATTGAAATTATTGGTAGTTGTTACTGTTATTAGCTACTGGCAAGTCAGCTCCAACTCATGGTAACTTCATGTATACCAGAATGAAACACTAACTGCTTTTGCATCATCTTTACAAATGCCAACATGATCAAGTTCATCATTGTAGTGATTGTGCCTACCCACCTCACCCTTGTCGGTCCTCCACTTTACCAAACATATATCCCTTCCAGCGAATGCTCCCTCCTGATTACCTGTCCAAAGCCAGTGTGTCAGACAATTGTTCTATTGTAAACGATAAGACTTTCATTGGCTAATTTTCACAACTAGATCTCCAGACTTTTTTCCTAGTCTGTCACAGTTTAGAAGCTTTGCTGAAGCCTGTGCATTACGAGACACTATGAGTATTTGCAGTATTAATGGTATAGCTTCCAGTAGCACAAGACACAAGACACATACCAGAGTATGACAAACTCAGATGAGTGGTGAACATGTTAGAAGGAACAAACTAATTCTGGATATTTTGGGGACAGCTAGGTCAAAAGAGTGACTCACCAATTGCTAAGGATGGAAAGTGAGGTGGGGGAGGGCGGGTCTTGTGGATTTGGTCTCAGGTGTGAGGATTCTGCAGATGGTGCCTGGTGAGGGTGGTGTTGTTGTTAAGTACTGTGAAGTTGGTTCCAACTCATAGTGACCCTGAACAGGGTTTCCGAGGCTGCAAATCTTTATGGGAGCACAAAGCCTTATCTTTCTCCCAAGGAACAGCT